TGCACCTGCACCTGCACCTGCACCTGCACCCGCACCCGCACCCGCACCCGCACCAGCTCAAGCATTTGTCTATCGGCACCTCCGCCACTCGATTCGGATCCTCCGCCTTGGCACTCACTCGACCTTCGGCAGCTTGCCGACACGCTCCCAATGGCGCCCGTCTCGACAGACACGATGGCTCGGCCAACGGCCGGCCCATCATCATCGAGCAAACGCAAGATCGACGAGCACCACTCCTCCGCCTTCACAGACACGCTCAAAAGGCTCAAGGAGGAGGCCGACTCAAATCAAGACGTGGACGACCAGGCGCTCTGGCCTCGCCCCGACCTCGAGCCCCTCGACGTCGACAACGATGCCGTCACCTTCCAGCAGATCGATATCGAAGAACACCAGGCCGTCGGACAGCCTCCCGCCATCCGCATGTACGGCGTCACCGCACAAGGCAACTCGGTCTGCGCCCATGTCCACGGCTTCCTCCCGTACTTTTACATCCACGCTCCGCGCGGCTTCACCGCCAACACCTGCAACGACTTTGCCAACCATCTCAACGTCCTCTTCGGCGCACGCACCGTACACAACGCACAGGTCGTCAGCAAGAAGAGCCTCATGGGTTACGCCGGCCAGGAGAACGTCGCCTTTATCAAACTCACCATCTCCGACCTCCGCAGCCTTCCCCGCATCCGCGGCTCCTTCGAACGTGGCGAGATCGGCTTCCGCGACCTCTTCACCGCCGGCGACGTCTGCCTCACCTACGAAAACATCGCCTACACCCTCCGCTTCATGATCGATCTCAAGATCGTCGGCATGAACTGGATCCGTATCAAGGAGGCAAACTACAAGCTGCGTCCAGAGTCACAAAAGGTATCCCTCTGCCAGATCGAGCTCGACTGCAGCTGCGATGCGCTCGTCTCCCATGCTCCAGACGCAGAGTGGTCCAAGGTCGCTCCGCTCCGCATCCTCAGCTTCGACATCGAGTGTGCAGGTCGCAAAGGTGTCTTCCCAGAGCCTTCCGTCGACCCCGTCATCCAGATCGCCAACATGGTCACCCGTCAAGGCGAATCCACCCCCTTTGTCAAGAACGTCTTTACGCTCAACACCTGCTCCCACATCGTCGGCAGTCAGGTGCTCTCCTTCAACAAGGAGATCGACATGCTCGAAGCTTGGACCAAGTTCGTACAGGAGGTCGACCCAGACGTCGTCATCGGCTACAACATCGCCAACTTTGACTTTCCTTACCTCCTCGACCGTGCAAAGGCGCTCAAGTCCACCAAGTTTGCCTACCTCGGACGCGAACGCGGCGTGCGCACCGAAGCCAAAGAGACCCACTTCTCCTCCAAAGCCTACGGCACGCGCGACTCCAAAAACACCGAACTCCAGGGCCGTCTCCAGCTCGACATGCTCCAGGTCATGCAGCGCGATTACAAGCTGCGCTCCTACTCGCTCAACTCGGTCTCGTTCGAGTTTCTCGGCGAACAAAAGGAGGACGTGCACCATTCGCTCATCACCGAGCTCCAGAACGCAGGTCCCGAATCGCGCCGTCGCCTCGCAGTCTACTGTCTCAAGGACGCCTATCTGCCACAGCGCCTGATGGACAAGCTCATGTGCTTCATCAACTACATCGAGATGGCCAGAGTCACCGGCGTCCCCTTCAACTACCTCCTCTCGCGCGGTCAGCAGATCAAGGTCGTCTCCCAGCTCTTCCGCAAGGCCAACGAGGACAACTACCTCGTACCCGCCTACAAGGGCGAAGGCACCGAGGATCAGTACGAAGGAGCCACGGTGCTCGAGCCAAAGGCAGGCTACTACGACCGTCCCATCGCCACGCTCGATTTCGCCTCACTCTACCCGTCGGTCATGATGGCGCACAACCTCTGCTACACGACGCTGCTCGACAAGAAGACCATCGACCGCCTGGACCTCAAGCAGGACGAGGACTACGTCGTGACGCCCAACAACAACTGCTTCGCCACCAAGAAGCTGCGCAAAGGGTTGCTCCCCACCGTGCTCGAGAATCTGCTGGCAGCGCGAAAGCGCGCCAAGGCGGACCTCAAGAAGGAGACCGACCCCTTCAAGCGCGCCGTGCTCGACGGTCGCCAGCTCGCGCTCAAGATCAGCGCCAACTCGGTCTACGGCTTCACGGGCGCCACCATCGGCAAGCTGCCGTGCCTCGAGATCTCGATGAGCACCACCGCCTACGGTCGACAGATGATCGACCAGACAAAAGCGTACGTCGAGCGCCACTACACCATCGCCAACGGATACGAGCACGACGCAGAGGTGGTCTACGGCGACACGGACTCGGTCATGATCAAGTTTGGCGTGCCGGATCTCGCCAAGGCCATGGAGCTGGGCGCCGAGGCGGCGGCGCTGGTGTCCAAAACCTTTGTCGACCCCATCAAGCTCGAGTTTGAGAAAGTCTACTTCCCCTACCTGCTCATCAGCAAGAAGCGCTACGCGGGGCTCTACTGGACCAAGCCGGAAAAGTACGACAAGATGGACACCAAGGGCATCGAGACGGTGCGTCGCGACAACTGCCGGCTGGTGCAGACCGTCATCGACACGTGCTTGCGCAAGATGCTCATCGACCGCGACGTCAAGGGTGCCGAGGAGTACGCCAAGAACATCATCTCGGACCTGCTGCAGAACAAGGTGGACATGTCGCAGCTCGTCATCACCAAGGCGCTCGCCAAGGCCGACTATGCGGCCAAGCAGGCGCACGTCGAGCTGGCGGAACGCATGCGCAAGCGCGATGCCGGCTCGGCGCCCGCGCTGGGCGACCGCGTGGCGTACGTGATCGTCAAGGCGGCCAAGGGCGCGGCGGCGTACGAGCGCTCCGAAGACCCGATCTACGTGCTGGACCACAACATCCCGATCGACACGCGCTACTACCTGGAGAACCAGCTGGCGAAGCCGCTGCTGCGCATCTTTGAGCCCATCATGGGGCCCAAGGCGAATACGATGCTGAATGGCGAGCATACGCGCGTGGTGCAGGTGGCCACGTCGAATGTGGGCGCGCTCATGAAGTTTGCCGTCAAGACGGTGCAGTGTTTGGGATGCCGCACGCCGCTGCGCGAGCAGAATACGCCCGTGTGCAAGAACTGCCGGCCGCGCGTGGCGCAGCTGTACCACGAGAAGCTCGCGCGCGCCTCGGCGCTCGAGGTCGAGTTTGCGCGGCTCTGGACGTGCTGCCAGCGGTGCCAGGGCAGTCTGGCGCAGGACGTGCTGTGCACCAACAAGGACTGCCCGATTTTCTTCAAGCGCTTGCGTGCGCAGAAGGACGTCGAGGATGCCGTCAATGTCGTGCAGCGCTTTGATACTGCGTGGTAGGCCGCGGCTCAGGTGGAAAAGCAATGCAAGCCAAGTTTCTCAGTGTCACTTTGTGCGAGTCGAGGCTGGGTCGCAGTGGGGCATGGTACAAGCTGTGATGCTGGGAGTGCGTCAGTCGGAGCTAAGACGATGGCGGTTGTCGCGCTTAGACCATATTGCTCGTGCGGAGAGGACGTGGAAGCAAGTGCATGTGAAATTGAGATCTGTAGAGAGGATGCGTTGGGGGGATTTACAGCTTGGCGCCGTCCTTGCGCAAGAAGGTAGCGGCGACGTTCTTGCGTTGAATCTTGCCCGTGGCGGTCTTGGGGATGGCGTCGGTGATCCAAATTCGCTCGGGCACCTTGAACTTTGCGATCTTGCCCTGCATTGCGGCCTGGATCTTTTTCTCGTCCAGCTGGGTGTTGTTGTGCAGGATGACAACAGCACCTACCTTTTCGCCGTACAGTTTATCGGGCATGGCAAACGACACTGCCTCCTTGACCCCCTCGACGGCCAGCAGAGCGGCGTCGACTTCGAGAGGCGAGATCTTTTCACCGCTTCGGTTGATGAGTTCCTTGATTCGTCCCACCAGCTCAACATACCCATCGGCATCTTTTCGTCCCTGATCGCCGGTGCGGAAGAAGCCCGAGTTGGGTCCGGAGCGTACAAACGACTCCTCGTTGGCCTTGGCATTGTTCAGATAGCCCTTGGTCACGTTGGCGCCACGCACGCTGACTTCACCCACAGTGCCCTGGGCCACCTCGTTGCCCTGCTCGTCGAGAATGCGAATCTCAACACCGTGTCCGATACCCACCGTGCCCGGCTTGCGCTTGGCAGGCGGGAGCGGGTTGGAGGTCATCTGGTGCGAGGCCTCGGTCATGGCATACGCCTCCAGCACGGGAGCCTGGAACGTCTTTTCGATGGCGTGGAAGGTGGAGGGCGAGAGCGCCGAGGAGCACGATCGGATGAAGCGCAGCTTGGGCACCGGGTTCGGGAGAGGCGAGTTGAGCAGCATCTGGTGAATGGTGGGCACGGCCGTGTACCAGTTGCACTGGTTGCCCGCCAGTTCGCTCCAGAAGACACTCGCCGAGAACTTGGGTGGGATCACGGCACTGCCACCGGAGAGCAGGGTGGCGAGCAGACCGCACAGAAGGCCGTGCACGTGGAAGAGGGGCATGACGAGGTAGGTGCGGTCGTGCGGGGCGAGGGTGTAGGTGCCGATGATGTTGCGCATCGTGGTGTGCAGGTTGGCGTGGGTGAGCGGCACACCCTTGGGCCTGCCCGTGGTTCCACTGGTGTGGAGTACGAGCGCAACGTCGTCGTCGCGCGGCTTCTCGAGCTGCTTGCTGGGCGCTATGCTCGACCCATCGGCCTTTCGAAGCGAGACGCTGCCGTTGCCGGAAGGGTCAAAGACGACCTCGACGACCTGCACGCTGCCGAGCTTCTTGGCGGCATCGATGGCGGGATGACCAGCAGCGAGCGCACCTTTGGGGAGGAGGAGCAGCTGAGACTTGGTGTCCTGCAGGTAGAACTCAACCTCGGCCTGCGAGTAGTTGGGGTTGAGGGGTGCGGCGATGAGCCTCTGCGCACCCGTGGCGAGGAAGGCGAGGGTGAACTCGATGCCGTTGACGAGCGACGAGCTGACTGCGCTGCCGGGCGCGAGGTTGAACGAGGCGAGCTGTGCCTGGAGGTCGAGCACGAGCGCATGCAGACGCTCGTACGAGAAGGTGAAGGGCGTGGGCGACGACTTGGGCAGCACGATTGCTGTAGCTGAAGCGTCGAAGCCCTGACGCTGGGCAAAGACGGACATGAGGTTGGCCATGGTGACGTTTGTTGTGGTTTTGCGGGAGAGTGAGGGTGAGGAATGGCAGGTGATGGTCGGAAAGAATGCCGGCCCCGCGCACTGTGGTCCACGAGAGTAGAGTGGTTCGGGCGTCGGCAGCCATCGGCTATCGATAGGATCGCGGAGGCGCCGGCTATACTCTTCAATCGCTCTGCCCTTCTGCTCAAAGTGCGGGACTTCGCAATTTGCCTCGCGTGCACAGATGTGCACCGATGTGCGCAGGTGTGACGTTTGTGGAGGCTATCGCATCGGTGATCTCAAATCCCCTCGTGTGTTAGACCGGTTTTCGAGAAATTAGAATTGATGCCGGGCCTCGAAATTTTTGCTGCAGCTGAAGAAAAAAAAAA